AATTGATAGCATCAACTGAGGACAAATAATGACCAAGAGACAACTTGTTGTCCATATAAACAAATGTACATATATTTTAATTCCATCGTTTTAATTTTTATATTTAACATTTGAAATTTCAATCTTATAATTCGGAGTATAAACGTTAATTCTATTAAATAAGATCACGCTATTAATTTCTATATTATGTGTAAATTATATACATTTAATTCGTATTCTTTAGTTTCATAATTTTAATTTTTTTATAATTTAGAGTCATCTACAATTTACGTTAGGAATATATAAAGTAAAGTTAAAAAAAATACAAGTGATGCATTAGCAATAGATATCTTACGGTAAACTTCAATTTTGTGGATCAATGATTCTAAAAATGGACTTAATTGTAAAAAGAAAAAAATGATTTCTGCCCCAATGTTGTTTGTACATTTTCACTGGAATATTCTCTATTACCACAACATAATTTAGTATTAAAAAGCATTAATTGTCATGTAATACCTTGTTGGCTAAATCAGCGGCATAGTTCTTCACACGGGACATAAAGGGCAATCGATACCATGCCCAAGACTGTAGCAGCAGGAGACATCCACCGAGCATTACGCCTGTAGTCAGTGGCTCCACACATCTCTCTGTATAGCAAAGCCAAAACTGTCGAGCCCCAACTGAATGATCCGGCGAGACGAAAGTAGCTAAGATGTCGCAACCACATGCAGTGACTAGGTTGCGCGATTTATCCGGCATCAGCAACCCTCCCTATCAGTTGCAGTATACATGCCCGTGCATACATCTTAACCTCATTCTCAGAGGCGTCTGTGCTCACTCCCGAAATTGACATCTAACCAATTTAATGGTATCCTACCTCCGATAAAATTTTTCGGGACAACGTCCTAGACTGTCGACACAAAGTAGTCCAGAACCGAAAGCTATCCCCGATATCACATCTCCATTCACCGGAAGCCCCAGGTGCATAGAAACATCCTCAAGCGCGTCGTGCACTCTCCGCACAGAAGATGGAATGTGGTCTCCGGCCTCCACCGCTCTACTAAGGCAGAAATCAGGTCTGGCTCTATCTTACAGTGACCCTGATATCTACCTATGTACCGAATCCCTCTACTAATACGACAAGACACAGCTGTATCACTAACTTAAGATTCCTAATAAAAGGATCTAATACATGGTCATCTCCTAAAATAAATAATTACAAAAATTAATTCTTAATCTAATAATCATGCATTAAATAAATCAACTAATTATTACTAATAATTTAAATTAAATTAAAACGTTAAAATGTTACCGTATCAGCAAAATATCGAAATATTTAATTCTTAATCTAATAATCATGCATTAATAATCAACTAATTATTAATAATTTAAATTAAATTAAAACTAAAATATTAATAAAGTAAATACTTAAATAAATTAAATACATAATATTAAAAATATTATAAAATATACCTTAAAAAGAGAGAGTATTTAAGAGAAATAGAGAATTTGGTGTGATAAAAGTGATTGAGGATGAGGGTGTTTATAGGGAGGATTAAGATGGACGGGCGGTATTTAGGGGTATAGCGCACTCCTGCACCGTGCTATACCCCACGTGTCAGATAACCATATTATGGATCAGGGGGCGCACTATACCCGTGGCGCTAAATCACCGTATATCGCGGGGCAGAGGGCACACTATATTCTACGTGACGCCAAATCAGCATATAACGCGGTGCAGGGGGCACGTTTTACTGCTACGGGTGTGTTAGATCGAGAAATATAATCTGACCGGTGTAGATCAATAAATATACCGATCACCGATGATTTTTTTTTGGAAAACACCCAAATTTATGCTCAACTTGTAAGGTTTAAGAATTACAATATAACATATTGAAGGCTGTTTTCGACTTTAATTCCTTAAATTGAATGTTCCCTTTATCCAAAACAATGGGTAGCTCCTAAAATCCAGTGCCCCTTAGAATATCCAATAATTACTAAATATTAAAAAGAACCAGTAAATTTGGACGGCTGAGATTCGGTCAAAGGCAAGCGGGCTCTTTTGGAAAGGGAAGAGATTTTAGTTAAACCACGTCAGAATCCGACATTTTTTCCTTGGTTGCTTGTTTGAGTTCAGTTTCAGCCTATGTTTTTGTTACAAATGTCTTCCACCTTTGACCGTTTTTCACTACAGCTTTTTACTGTCTTGTTTGGTGGCCATCCAAAACTTACCATTTTTTTCCTAAAAAAGAATTACTGTACTAAATCAATCAAGTGTAAGGTTTTTACTTAGCAGTAAAGTATACAGTTCGACAGAAAACAAGAGTTTGGGTCTCCACACGCATATATCTCAATAATGATTTGACTTATTTTCTGACGTGGAATTGAGTGAGTATTATAAGTCATCGTGAATGATAGAAGTATATGTGAAAATACACGGTTTGGTAATGGGGGAAACTAAGGGCTGTTTTTGTTTGTCTCTTAATGAAATCATTCAGCGTTAATGTTGAATTGTTCAGCATTCAACGCGTTTGTTTCGCACCTCTGAATGATTCAGCGTTGACTGATTCAGCAAAACAGTGCTGAATGATTCAACACAGAAGTACATTCTGAATGATTCATAACCATTATCAAATAGTATGTCACATTCAGAGCTAATTCATACAGAGCCTCTGAATCTTTCAACATTTAAATCATTCAGCGTTTAATCATTCTGAAGTAACAAACAGTCCCTAAATTAATTGAGTTGCCTGTCTTCAAGACTTTATGTAAGAATAGATGATGGCAGCTAATCAAAGAATGTTAATACGTTGTTTCAATTATTTTAAAGGATCCAGATTCACTCAGGACTGCGGCAGTTCCATGCAGAAGCAAATATTACCGAGGAAAATGAAATGATGAAATTAATCAACAATGTCATGTCATGATGGTAGCACAAAACAAAACTGGATCTACCTTCGGTTCAAAGGAAAGTCAGAGAATGAGTCAAAATGGGCATAGAATACCAGATAAGTTTGGTACAGAATAAATATAGAAAAAAGAAGAAGAAAGTGGCAGGTATTTAAGGTATATTGTAATATGACCAAAGACAAAAAGAATGAAGTTTTGTTCTGAAAATATGGTATATGCAACTAGCAGGAAAAGGAAAGTGACCTGTTTAAAAGGTGTTTACAAAAGGAAAAGAGTCCATTGGTAATACTGCTATGAGCCTATAATCATTATTGAAGAAATCTTGGTATTGGAATTTAATATATCAAAATTTCATGCTCACTTTTTATTCGGATAACATATAGGTCCAAGTTAAAGGGTTATGAAGTACTGAATAAAGAACAAATTGGTCAACCATTGCCACTGATTCCCCTTATCTCCCTTTCCTTTCCACACTCTTACCAAGAATATAATTCTTTTGAGGGAGGAAAAGCAAAATGATATCAAGTCAAAAGGACCCCTTTGCAAAGTACCGAGCCGTAAGTGAACCAAGCTGTTTAGAAACTTTTGATCAAATGTTCTGTTCATTTACAATCGTACTAGTTAGAGATCAAACTTCTATCTCAGACCCTCTTTCGAGTTGTCAACAAAACAAAACTTTAAGCTGAAAGCTAGCCCATTTCAAACATGTCAAGTATGAACTATGAACTACAACTCTACATTTCACATTAACAATTCTTTACCTGTTAAGATAAAAGTCGCATTCCTGCTACATAAGGATGATTAGTAAACAAGATTCAGAGTATTGTTTCACATACTAATTCTGTTGTGTAAGTAGTCGAACTCAAATCCAATCACAGAGAAGACTGTCCGTTCGATTTGAAGAGTATATGCTCTTCTTCTAATGTTGTCTCATCCCCCACAACGGACACCCAGCTTTCAGAAATTTTATCCACTTGTCCATTTGATATCTCAACTAAAGTGAAGGCTCGGTTGGTACCATCGGAATTGGAATGCTTGCAGCGATGCCTCATTTATAGGTTTCACTCTGGGAACTATGGCTCCATTGAGGTATATAATGTCGTCAGTCCCAACTACTATCATTTTGCAAAGACCATTCCCATGCGCCAATTCTTTATGCATGATACCAAACATGACAAGTGGAATTGAGAAGGTAGCATCTGTTTCAAGAGGGAGATAGCTTGTGCTAGATCTGTACCAGAAATATTTTTGTTAGCTCGACACAAGAGGCCAGTGATTTATCTCATCATAGGCAAATACATTGCACGACGAAAGACATTAGATACATTAATTTTCATGCTCCTACATCCGGAATTCAGGGTCATATTTTCTAATAATCTTGCTAAGTACACCATAGAGTGAAATAACTAAATTATTTTGAAAAAAAAAGTTAGAACATCACACTGAAGGGAGCCAAACCCTGATAAAATACCTGGATCACCATGATCACCACCTTCAAACACCCAATCTTTTCCACAAATGTCATTCAATTCACTGCCAAGACCTGCAAAAAGTAACACCTATTTGTATAGGGAAAACCAATTGGTCTTAAAAAAAGGTTGATTCGGCTAGTCCATACACCTGCAGGTCCATTATGTGCAAGAAGTATAACTAGATGATCTTCTGGGGTCCCAAGTGCAGCTTCATAGATTCTCTTGGCACTGTCATCCATCTCTTGCATTCCATACCTAAATGACACTCCAATTTGGTAAATTGCAACACGAATAAAAATTCTGTGACAAGCAACTTCCCGATCACAATCCCATTAGAACTGCCAGTTTAATTTGCTAGCTCATTAGGTTACGGATGAGATAATATCTAATAAAGTCAATTCAAGTGTTTTGCAAAATTAACGGATAAGCCAAACAACAGTTTCTAGAAATGGAAATAATAGATAGGTTCAAATTGAAAACAAAGGAAGTCGTTAGGGGGAAAGACTAAAAGGACCAAACACACGAACAAGCAAGGATAAAAGGTCAAAGAAACAGACACTAAACTAACAAATAGATGCCACTATGCAATACTACCTTGCAGACAGAAGCCTTTTCCGAAAGATTCACTGACCCCACATGAAAAGGGCCGTCCACCAACAACACTGAGCTTTAGTAAAGGAAAGTCCAGACGTTTATAACCTACATGCTCCTGTCCAAGACCATACCAAACTGATGCCCTTTGAATTCTACTACTTAGAAATGATTATAATGTGCCAAAAGGTCATATGGTGATGCATACAATTAACTCTGATTGTAACCAAAGTCCCTACATCCACATGTTCACATTTTACAATTATTATTACTCAACGTTTGGCAACAGAACATCATCATAGCCTAGAATTATTTTGGGATTTGAAACACAAGTTACCCGACTAATTCAAGCCTCAAATTTTCACAGTTAGCATCTAACATGGAAAAAGAGATGGAATATAGAAAATTAAAGAAGCATGCATTCTTAAAATTCCTTTTTTATATATCAGGAAAGCTCACCATTCTAGTTGAAGTTGAACTCGATCCTTCTTCCTAATCATGGAAAGACGTCCTGGATTAGAGATCATTAGATTGTCTAACACATAACTAGCTACATTAAATATGCACAGGAACCACCAAATCAAAATCCGAACACAACCAACAAACATATTAGTAAATCATCGGGCATGAGTAACTTACTTAGAAGAAAACTGTTGAGTGCTCCAAGAATCATGATTTCCCAAAATAACTGCTTTTAGAAAGTTGAGAGCAGCAACATTTTGAACTAGTTCGTCATTCTCATTCCAAAATCACCTAAATAAAGGAAAAGCCTGTGAACAAAGAGGAAAAAAAAAGGAGAGGCAAAAGATTTACATCCTACAGGGTTAGATTTTGGGAAACAAATATAATAAGTTGTTCAGGTAGAGCAAGAGCTAGACATTGGTCGCATGGATTAGGCACATAATCTTCAGTTATCTATTTTCTTTTAAATGAACGAAAAATTCTTGGGTGTACCAGAAATATTCAGGAGTGTCAAATGGCAAAAGAGTCTAGCCTCATCAAGGTTACAATGCATGCATCTTTTCTACTTGACTCACCAATTGGAGCCGGCAAAAAATTAGAGGGAAGACTCCAAAGATGAATATTCATAGCACATTGGGTCGATAGACACTGAGGAAAGAGGAACCTGCCTGTGAAGAGCACCAAATCGGGTTGCATTTTCACAAAATCTCTTATTAGATAGGTAACGAGATCTATATGCAAATTTTCAAACCTCAAAAGAGTTCATGTAAAAAAAAACTAAAAAACGAATCTTTAATTGAGTGGAATCTTTTTAAACAATCAATCGGATCTATGAAATGTAATCAGGTATTTTGTACACTTTTATTTTACACATGTAATCACGCAATTTGAGATTAAAATCCGCACAGCTTGAGCGCCGAGTTAACTACAAGCATCCAAATCGATCTGGCAAGGTAACTTTCGTTTATTTTCACTTTTCACATTAAAGTAGAACCCTTATGTTTTCTTCTTCTCTCAAAATCCAAACTTTGTTGAACTTTAGTTTTTAAAATTACCAAAAAAAAAAATTACCTTGAGAAATTGAAGTGCCTTTGTGTCTTCTTCAAGGTCCCAATCATCGTGCTTCAATAAAAACCCAAATTTAGAAAGAAAGAAAAACGACTTATATAAATCGCCATACAAGCTGAACGACATGTATTAAATAAAACACTAAAAAGCTAAAGCAATAGCCCATCAAAGCACTACTCTCTCTCCCTCTCTCTCCATCTGCCCATTCTTACTTTTTTGACTTTCGGACACCCACCATAACCATTTTATCAACAACAATTCTTCTATTGTTCTCTTCTTTCTTCTTAATCTGGTTCGGTTGTTGTTTTGTAAATCTTTATTTGTTCGAAAAAGAAAAATTCTCACTGTGAAAAGTAAAGCTCTGGTTTTTGGTTGATTGAATAACCGGAAAGAAAGAAACTATGTTCCAGAGGTTAGGGAAGAGTAAAAGGAGCTAGAGGAGAAAACACAAGAGTTGGAGTATGACCATGGAGGTCGCCGTGCTCCGGTCGACCTATAAAGATCACTGTAGCATTATCTTATTACAACAAATAATCTCATCAGTATATTATTCGAGCAATTTATTTTTTCTAACACAAGGATGTATATATTTTAAAAACTATTTTTATTTAATTATTTATAATAAATAATGTTTTTATGCATTGGGGTTTAGAAAAAGTCTAGTTAATAATACAAAGTATTTCAAAGAAAGTACAAAAATAATTTGTATCGTTAATGATGAATTAATATATGTTTATGAGATTTTTTTGTTTTATATTGTATAAGTATATATTATTAAAGTATTATTAGAAGATACTGATAAAACATGTTGAATAAAATATAATATTATAAATGATTAAATTTGTTAAAGGACTTTAATGATTAAGAATAAATGTTGTTATCTTTAAAGATCATGAATAGTTGTATCTATAGGATATATATATATATATATATTAAAAAAGATTATGAACATAAATTATCATTATAATCATATTATATTATTACAAATATTATAATGATTATTTAATTAAAATTAATAGTGGATAACTTATTTAAAAAAAATCGTTTAAGTGCTTCAAACTCTATTTTAAATCTACTACTATTAAAAGTTACTTATAATATTTAAATTGTTATGATATTAATGATAAAAAGATACTATTGTAATTAAAAATTGACTCCAAATAATGACTTTAAATCTATATTTATATTTAATTTTTAAAATTTTATTTTCAAGCATAATTATAAAACATTTTCACTTTCTTTCCTTACAAACAATACAAATTATTTGTACAATCAATACTTCATTTTATTATAAATGAATTAAATGGAAAAAATTCTTTTAATTTAGTTTTATAAGGACCATTTTTAAATTGTATACAAATGTTTGTTTAAAATACTAAAAAATAAAGAAAAAATGATTATGTGGTGCATTTGTTTGTTTCCACACGTGTCCGGCCATCATCAAAGAACTCACTGGCTCTCATAATTCAACATAGAGTTTGATGAGTAAGCCTATGGCTGTGACAGAAAGAACGAAAGTTAAGAGCTAACCGAGCGTATATTTAACAGTGGATTCGTCTAAGGCTCCATTGACGAGCGGCCAATTAATACAGTAACGTATAGAAACTGGGGTTTGGTTTGGACTTTCGAGCAGTGTTTTCGTTTTCAAGTAAGGGTAGGTGTCCTTGTATCTAAGTACAAGGACTTGCAGACTCACAAATGGTGACGGCTGTTTAATTCAAGAGGTTATTGTTAAAATGTGAAACTTGGAAGATTTTTCTACCTTGTACGGAAGTTTCCATGGCATCCAAACCCATCTTCTTCCTTTCTTCTCAATCCCACTTCTCTGGTGCACAAACTTGGATTAAAGCTGGTTACTGGTACGCTAATGGCGAATTTCCCATACAATACATAAATTCAGCTTTGTTCACTCATCTTTCATTTGCCTTTGCTGAAGTGAACGCCTCAAATTATCAGCTCTCTATCCCCTCTTCCTCCGAGCAATATTTATCAACTTTTGCAACCATAGTCAAACGAAGAAACCCATCGGTTAAAACACTGTTATCCGTCTGGAATGGGATATCCGCAACAGGGAAATCTATATCCGGTGAAAAGGTTAATGACTCAATTTTATCTTCAATGGTCTCATCATCTTCTACAAGGAAGTCTTTCATTGATTCCTCCATGAAAGCAGATTATGCTTTTCATGGAATAGACTTGTTGGGTTTGGCCTAACATCACAGATTTGTCCAACGTTGGTGTTTTATTAGACGAATGGCGAGCTGCCATTAACTCTGAGCCTAGAAAACCAGGTGAGTCGCCATTGATATTAACGATAGGCATTCGTTATTTGCCAACAATTGGAATGGTAACTTATCCAATCGATTCTATAAGAAGATATGTTGATTGGGCACATGTTGTGGCATAAGATTACCATTTTCCAACAAGTGAGAATTTAACAGGCGTCCATGCTGCTTTGTATGATCCATCTTGTAATGTTAGTACAGATTTTGGCATTAGTGAATGGTTAAATAAAGGAATGTTTCCAAGCAAGCTGGTTTTGGGTTTGCCTTACCATGGATATGCATGGAAGTTGGTGAACAGCCAAGATAAAGCTGTTGGTGCACCGGCTTCAGGTCCAGCTGTCACCATGGATGGTTCCATGGAGGTACAATTTACAAAGCCATCAAATCGCATATTCGAGATTATGGTTATGGAGCTGCTAGTGTATACAATGCAACTTATGGAGTGAATTTGTTCACTTCCCCAACAATTTGGATCAATTTTGATGGAGTGGGGCTGTCCGAGCCAAAATTTCCTATGCAAAGGATAGAAAACTCGCCGGTTTCAATGCGTTTGAGCTTTCGAATGATGAGAACTGGATGCTATCATGGGCAGGTTGGAGTTTTCAACAATCTCAGAAGATTTTGAGCTTAAGCACTCTTCACATTAGAGAGTTGGGATTTTGTTAATATTTGCTGTTTTATGTAGCTAAATATATAGCTTTCAACTAAATCAATCATAGGTAAAGTAAACAAAGTCGATTCCGAGAAGTTTATCAATTTTGATGAGAAATTCTGATTAATATGCTGCTAAACTACATTGGCAGCTCAAGAGGGAGAAAATAAAGGAAACAAGCAGCAGTTGTTGCTTAAAATCATCTTTCCGGTTTCGCTGATTGCTATCCTCGCAGTGGTGGCTATGCTGTATTATTTGCGAAGAAGAAAGGTTAAAACAGTAGGTAATTGCCTCGAAGTATGAACACATGAAATTGAGCATATGGTTTGATTGTTAGCAATGCAAAAAAGGAAAGGTTCTTTTTATTCTTCTGGTTTTCCTGGCACGTTTTTTTATTCATTTTTACAGAGGAAATGGCTTTAGGAAGCATTCCTAGCCCAAGAGTTAACTATCAGCTGCTGAAAATTTTGGCAGTGATGCTTCTCGTTTGCAAGTGTTCAAGTTTTTCAACATCAAAGCAGCTACAAATAATTTCTCGAGTGCGAATAAGCTTGGAGAAGGTGGCTTTGGTCCCGTATACAAGGTCAATAAAACGACCTTTGTTTAAGCTTTGATGCATTTACATTCAATGCTGAAGCTAAGTTGCAGATACCAGCAAATGATGATTAAGTATACCTTTTGAATTTTTATATGCCAAGTTACCAAGAGGGCAGGAAATTGCAGTGAAGAGACTTTCCCGAACTTCGACTCAAGGACTTGAGGAGTTCCAAAATAAGGTTACATTGACACCCAGGCTTCAACATGTAAATCTAGTAAGGCTGTAGGGATATTGCACTGAGGAGGAGGAAAAAATGCTGATATATGAATTCATGCCAAATAAAAGCTTCGATCTCTATCTCTATGGTATGCTATAAGCTGATTTTAAGTCTTCTCTTACAGTTTAAAGCACAGGTCGGACATAATTCTACACTTCATAACATAATCAAAGGTGGGATTTTCTCGTTTTGTTGTCTTCGGCTTCTGAACTTTTCATCCGGATCCGATCAGGCGTTATGTTTTAGATTGGGAAAAACGTGTGCATATCATTGAAATGGTGAGGAGAAGAAAAGTGATGAGAAAGAAAGAAGAAGAAAAAAAGAAGAAAAAAAGAAGAAAAATGAAGAAGAAGATGTGGAACTGGTTGAAGAAAAAGAAGAGCCAATCAAAATGGTCAAACTGTGGCAGACAACGATCCAAATCAACAGATAATGGTCCAATTATATTTTTTGTCATGCCTATTAACGATTGTTAATGTCGAGTGATCATTTTGTAATAAACGATAACGTAATGACCAATTTATAACTTTTTAAACATCAGTGGTAAAAATAAATACTTAACCTAACATTAGTGACCGATTACCTATAATTTTATAGCATTAAAAAAACAGTGTTTTTTAATAAAGTATCAGTACCTAATACAATACTTAAAAATATCTTCTTTTAGTAATATATAATTACATAAATAAATCTTCTAAAAAATACATATAAATACATATTATATATTTAATACTACTTATTTATAACACATATTTAAAATACTTTTTTTTATAATAACAACCTCGTTAAAAAACCTCTTAAAACCTATGAGGGGAAAAGAGTGCCCAAACTCATTAACAATGACAATAGATAAATATGATAGATAATCATGCATAAAAGAAATTGCAGTAGCCGAACTAGATGCGAAGTTGGCTAAAGTATGATCAGCCTTATTTGCATTATGGCGAATGGATCTGAGCATATAATCCGAATGTGAAACCAGAATTTGATGGGCGTCGGGGAGGATGAATTGGAGAACTGACATATCGAAACTGTGCTGCTGAAATTGAGTAATGACCGAAGAGGAATCACTCTCAATTAGCTTTCGAGAATACCCCGACTCAATTACTAATTGAAAACCATAACACAAGGCATGCGCTTCCACACAATTAGAAACACGGGGACATCCGATGCTTCTCGCCCTTCCAGCCAAAACAAAGCCATCATGGTCATGAATAAGCGTTGATATAGTCGGGAGGCGGTCATCAGGCGGACACGCGCCGTCAACATTGAGCTTAACAAATCTTGGGGGTGGTTTCAACCAATGGTCAGTGTGAGCAAATGAGGAGACCATGGCCCAGGGGCGGACCTTATAGTTGTTCTGGGTATCTCAGGCAACCCCTCAAAATTGTCTACTTAGTATTAATTTTTTCTAATTTTTTTTAATTAATATAAGTGTCACCCCTAATATTGTGTGTAACGGTTTCTCTTTATTATAGGAAAAATTAATATCCTATTTAAAATTAAAAAAAGAGATCAAGCCCAAAAAACAAACTTTAAGCCCATGAATCAAGCACCTATTTTCAGTTTTGTGGGAATTAGGATACGACAATTGACAACATATTAGATCGAAGATTCGAAGGCTATGAAAACTGAAAACCTCGATTGAAGATTAAAAGGGCAACCGTGAACCGCCAGCAAGGGCTAAGGGTTGTGCCTCTGTGGAAACTAAAAACCTCGATTGAAGATTAAAAGGGCAACCGTGAACCGTCGGCAAGGGATGTGCCGCTGTGGTCTTGTAGAAACTCAACCCATCTTGGAAAGGTAAGGCCGCAAGGGCTGCCTCACTGCCTTCTTGGTGCGATTGAACTTTGAAGGGGAAGTCGACAGTAGTCGATTGAACTTTGAACTTTTGAAGGGCAACCCTTGAATTTTTTTGTACAACCCCTGAATTTTTATCCTGGTTCCGCCTCTGCATGGCCCGATCATTGTGGTTCAGTGGCTTTATTCGGTCAAAAAAGGACTGCATCACCTTACATGGAGAAACAATATGCCACCCACGTAAAAGACGATGTTCATGCACGAAAACGTTTCAACGATACCAAATTTGGGATAAAAGCAAGATTGTAAAGGTGAACAACCTTGACTCTAAAAGAGTGTGCAGTGTTATTAACCAAGTACCACAGGAATCAAACACACCAGAAGTCACAAAAGAAGAAAGGCCAGCAATGGAGAAAATTGGTCGTACCTCATAACAGTTAAGAAATGTATGCAAGACATTCTCTTCTGCGACTCCACAAAGACTACACCTTCCATTGGAAATCCTAGTGTAATACCCAAAATTTAGTAAGTGACTAAAATTTAATTTCTGAAAGTTTAGTGACCAACGTAAAAATTTAGGAAAATTTCAGGGACTAAAATATTAATTTTATCAAAAATAAGTTTTATCCCATAAATGAATAGTCCCCAAGAATGATATTTTTGTAGGAATCATATTTTTGATTCGGAGTTTGTATAAAAAGTTATAAAGCGATAAAATTCAGTAATAATTGAATAATATGATCAAATAAAAAAATTCAGAAAACTAAAAGGTTAATAATTTCATTTTTCTTATTTTTAATTGGTGAAATTCAACTTGGATTTTGGATTTAAATTGATTTTGCATGTTAAACCGAGATTGTTAGATTATAGTGACTAGATTGTAAATTTTGGGAAAACTACAAGGACAAAATTGGAAAAAAATGAACAAGTGGCATGGTAATTTGCCAATTATCATGATTTTTAAAGGGTAAAATGGTCTTTTACTAGAAAATGAATTTTTAATTCATTTTAATTAGTTTTAAGACAAGTGTATCATGATATTTTGATGGAAAAATCAAGAAATTTACTCTTCTTCTTCCAAACCGTGGCTTCCTTAGCTAAAGTAAGAAAAATATTATTTTTCTTTTTAATCCATTTTTTAGGTTTTTGGACTAAAGTGTGAAATAGAGAATTAATCTACATCAAATTCTCTATCATTTGCTATAAATATTTCATGGTTGTTTTGCTTGGATCATTATTTTGGTTATTAGGGTGGATGAAGAACAAGTTGGATTTTAATGATTTAAGGATGGATTTTTGATTTAGTAGATGTTGTTAAGTTGTTTCCAAGCATGTGTGTTGAATAAAATCAATTAGAAATACATGTACAAGGATTTGGATAAGGCTAGGGTTTTAAGGAAAAAATTATTTTGGATTGAATATGATATGGAAATATTTGAGATTGCAAGGGAATGCTGTTCAGAAGATGAATTCATGTTTGAATCAAGTTGAAAATTAAGCTAGATACACTTTATTATATTCGTCCATGAAGAAAAAAATTAGGGGAAATATTGAAAATTTTCCTTAAGCTTAGAAATGGTATTAGAATGATTTTACATGCTTTGAAATGTGTTTTGGACGAAGTTTGTGCAAGTGTAGGAACCTATTTGCATGTTTTAAGAAATTTAAGGATTAAAGTATAATTATTCAATAATTGATGTACTATGCTAGAATTTAATGTTAGAATGTTGAATTTGATATTAGATGGTGAAATTGGACCAATTTGAGAAGTTGGTAAAGTTTGAAGAACAAATTGAAAATATGAAAATTTTGGGAATTTAAGTGAAAATTGGGTAATTGTTGAGGTATTATGCTGGAATTAAATGTTGGAACATTTAATTAAGTTAATTGAAGAAAAATAGCAAGGACCATTTTGAATAAATTGAAAAAGTTGGGGCAAATTTTAAAAGAATTCATTTCATTGGTCAATAATGTGAAATTAAGATGAATATAGGGATTAGTGAATGAATACGGATAGTAAGAGGATTGAAGTTGTATTTTTATAGTGTTAAAGTTAGTATCGAAAATGCGAAATAGAGTTTATATCGAATACACATTAATGAATAATCAGTAATTTTTATGTTAATACACGTCTATTATGTTAGTGTAGATACTAACATATGCTTTGAATTTTATAAGTTGGTAAATTATAATCATGTAGATTGTACTCGAGACCGTGAGATGAGTAAGATTAAAGCTAAGGAAAAGTACGAGAATAAAGGCTTATATTGAAAATAGAGGTTCACTAATGAGGCATTACCAGGTGAGTGCATTATGGTTTTTATGCTATCGTATATGATATGAGGACATACTGCGATGAGCCAACCTCGAATGGTTTTGAAAGAAAAGTTTTAAATTATATCATGAATTATTTTTATATTGTTTACAAAATGATGTGTTGATAATTTGATTATAAACTGCTTAATACATTTATGTGATATTTTATTTAAATAATATTTGAATAATTTATGGAAATGATTTTGAAAGGATTATGTGGTATGAAGTATTTAAAGTATTTTATATGAAATTTGATAAATGAATATGAATGATTTCGGGTATAAACTGCCAAATGCAATAATTTTTATAAAGAATAATTGAACATGTTGATATATATATATATATACATTGGATAAATGAATAAGATATGAATATGACATAAAAGTCCATTGTATGTTGCATTGAGAGTACTAGGCACAATTGACATGTCACGAGTTCGAGTGATTCTGATTTGGTACATTCGTGTGCATTTGATGATTATACCTGGAATGCATATTTCTGTATTTGGTGATTGCACCTGGAGTGCATATTTCTGTTTCTGATGATAGCACATGGAGTGCTTATTGCGCACACTCGTTTGACTCACGTACCTTGCATTCTCTTAAAATATACATTGGGCTATGAAAATGAAATGTGAAAGTTCTTAAATGTGATTGAATGGAAAAGAATATGAAATGATTATTGTGATTCATATTGATTACCATGATTTTTATAAAAACACGAGATGATGATTTTTGGCATGATATGCCTTTTATGTAATAAAGTATTTATATATGTGATATGATTCGAAAGAAAATTATTGTTTACTAAGTATTTGGATTTGACACTATATGCTTATACATGTGCTAAGTAATGATTTTCAGGTTCAATTTTATTAAAAGGAAAAAGGTCTGAATTATCAGTTTTATATATTTTTATACGATGGTAGTAGCATTCTAGTTATTTATGATCTTTTCATAATTTGAAATGTCTTACCTTAGTTTATATGCCTCACTATGTGGAAACTTAGCGTGTGAAAGGAAATGGATCGGAGTAAGGAGCGTGGTTTGGTATCACTTTTGAAGATCGTATCAACTCTCCAGTATCAATATGTTATTTTCTAATGATTTGACTTTTCTAGTTAGCATATATATTAATGAGTATTATGTTGCTCTGATATGATAGTATAAATCAGATCGTAAACTATTAAACAAACTAACTAAATATGGACACTACTAAGTATAATAAAGAGTAGATGCATGAATAACAATTTATTAAGTTATGCTTTAAATATTACCAGTATGGATTTTATAGAATGCAAATTTTAGACAGTTTTAAAAGTTATATGAAACAATATTGAATTGCTACATTACTTCCTAAAATCAGGTTTGAAATGAATGATAAAATATTTCTTTTTTATTTTTACTCGATTAAATATTTTAGTGATTAAAGTAAATTTATTGTTTTTGAAAGAAACAAAATTTTAAGGGTTTTTGAGTAGGAAATATTATAAAAGGTAAATGTGACATCTTTAACTCGTATTTGAGTATGTATATGGGTAAGGGTGTTCCCCCTTTCGAGGACTAGACAACGACTGATAACTTCGTAAAAAAGAATATATTTTAGGTCTTTTTACTTAAGTTATTGTTTGTCCAAAAGACGTTGTCATAGCATTTTAGTTGCATTTAGGACATTTCATACATGTGGTGGATAAGTTTTGCCTCAACTAGTTTTTCTTTAAAACTGATGTTGCTAATGAGAAGGGTTATGTACTGGTTGTGATGATGTAAGTGATAGGAAATGACCGAGGAGGAAAATATTTGCCGAGACAAATTTTGTGCGACGACCAAATGAATTGAAGATTATGATTGTGAGGAATTTTTCTCCATGACAAGTTTTATCTTGCAAGTCTGACGCAATACAAGACAAAATTGATGACGTCATATGGCCAGCTGTCCATTGCACCTCACGCAATCCTCTACCCCTGTAAAGGATTTGGGACCACTACCAGCTACCATATTATTCACGAAATAGGCTTGAATTCAAGGGTAGTTGGGGAAATTTTAAGGACACCAAACCCTAGAAATTCCACACTATAAATAGCATATTATGCCCACCATTTTAGAAAATCCCCACTCTTACCTACCCTAAAAGCTTTAAAAAAAGATAGTTGCAACAACTTCTTCACTGTTCCCCTCTCGTCCTTCCTTAGTGTCCTCCATAGTCGGGTTTCGTCGT